CCCGCCCCTCCCTCGCACGGCACCATGCAGCACAGCCTCAGCCTCAATGGTAAGACGCGGTCAAGGGGACGAGACGAAGGCCGTCCCGGACTTTCAAAACCTCGAGTCTGTTGTCCCCCCTTTTAGACGCTTTCCTGCGGGCGCTTCCTCACGTCAACCCGGCGCAGGCCGACCCGCCGCCCGCATCCAGGCAGGCGCCGCCGCCCGTCCTCTGCGCTCTCCGCAGGTCCGAAGCCGGCAACTTCACCGCCAGCCTGCGGGAGCTGGAGAAGGTAAGGCGTCCTCGCCTCAAATTCGGTCAGTGTAAGAATCGAACTGGATAAAAACAAACAAAAAAAAAAAACTCTCATTCACTCCCAAAGACGTTTTGAAACGTCTTTTCAGACTTGCTCCAGAATTGGCTGGGACTGAATGAGTTAAATCTTCTCCGATTTCTGTCGTCGTCCTCCGTTTGAGCAGACGACCAGCGACAAACGTTTTTTTTTTTTTGCCCATTTTTCTTAACGGACCCAAGCGGTCAGCGAACGGTAATCGATTTGTGTGAGCGTTTTCTGCGCTGGTCAATTTGAAAGCGTTTCCTGTTCTCCATTGAAGGGATGGCCGTTGAAATAACTGGGCGTGTGACCTGTGTGGGTCCGCAGTGCGGCTGGTACTGGGGTCCGATGAACTGGGAGGACGCGGAGATGAAGCTGAAGGGCAAACCCGACGGATCCTTCCTGGTCCGAGACAGCTCCGACCCGAGATACATCCTAAGCCTCAGCTTCCGCTCGCAGGGCGTCACGCACCACACTCGCATGGAGCACTACCGCGGTGAGACACGGCCAAGTGCTGACGTCACCTCGTGACGTGGAACGCTGCCCCCCACTACCCCAATTCGAACACACCAAAAAGAGACGTTCTAACTCGTGCTGTCAGTTTAATTCGTAATTAATGAAATTAATCACGAATTAATTAATCGGCATTAATTTCAGACAATTTTAACTCGGTTCGTTTTTTTTTTTTATATCGCGAGATTAATGGGCACCCACA